ATACTTAGAATATAGTTAGGGATTATGCTAGTTTATTAAAGTGGTAGTTATAGTTTTCTTCCAAGATCCATGACTTCACTAGCCCTGGGTAGTTAGCTAGATTTCAAGTACTAGACATTATTTTCCTCTTGTGGAGACGGGCTGTAAGTTCATCAAAGCTCAAGAGGCCTCAAATTAGAGAGCTGTTGGTTACTGCCAAGGTTTACATGCCACTACTGCACCCCTAGGGTTGCAGTGCCTTGCTGGTCATTGTATTTCATAGGCATCATAGGTGGGGAGGGCTAGTGGTTGCATTCCTCCTTTGAAAGCCTATATGGTTCCTTCAGGGAGAGGCTTTCGGATCAGATCCAGCTCAAGTCCTCAGATCCTGTGTCTGAAGTGCATGGTGTCTTCAACAATAGGGACTTACCTTCCCACTCTGGAAGGCAACCAAGGGCAATAACAATGGCCTATAATGTTTTGGGAGTCTCTTGGCTGACCCTGACCAACAACTCAAAATAGGGCTTCTCATGCCTGGTAGTGGGGTTTGTTAGATAGTCTGTGGCTCTGGGGAGAGCATTGTTGGTGCAGATGGGAAAGTTTCATTTAAACTACTTATGTCTATGTATACACTCACATGTACTATAGGTATTTTTAGGTAGATAATAGTATGTTTCCTTATGACTTTCCCAGACATCCTTGCTGTTATTTTACCTTCTTTTTTGGAGGGCTGGGGGGAGGGTTCGAGATAGGGTTTCTCTGTGTAACAGTGCTAGCTGTCCTGGAACTCATTTTGTAGACCAGGCTGGCCTTGAACTCACTGAGAGCCACCTGCCTCTGCCTCCCAAGTGCTGGGATTAAAGGCGGCGCCACCACTGCCCGGCTATTTTACCTTCTTTCTTGTATATTTACCTCCCTCCCCCTTCATAATTAAAGCCTCCCCATTTTTCCCATTTTCTCCTCAGATCACTTGTACCCTGTTATTCCCCTCTCTGTTGCTCCTCCACCATCACCCCATGTATAGTGGTCCCTTTTAACTTCCTAATTTCTGCAGTTACTCTAGGTCTTATACTTATATCTGAAGATTCGGAACCTCAGATGAAAGAGAACAGGAGACATTTGTCTTTCTGGGTCTGGGTTACCTCACTCAATAAACTTTTCTAGTTCCATTCATTTATCTGGCTCGATCCTGGAGAAAGAGGTGCAGGATCTGGCTGGATGGAAAGGTTCAAGAGAGACTTTCTAAATGTTGAAATAAAGATAAATTAAGGCAAGAGCAGGAAAATAGGTGAAATTGCTTTCATCTGTTTCTTTAGAGATAAGACATCTAAACATATAAACTTGGTCATGTACAGACTGTCCCTGGGCAGTAGCTAAGAAACTGGCATGGTAATTCTGAGAATGGGATTGTAGAGGATTAGGAGGTGGAAGAATAAGAATGGAAGGAATACTTAAAAATTCTTTGACACGTTCTGAATTTTGCTTACCAGTGCTTGCATTACATATTGACATAATTGTTTTGCAATGTGTAACTTGGGGCTAGGTACATCAGAAATAGTTTTCTCAACCAGATTATCCTCAGACTATAAAATTACTTTGTTAATCCAGTTGTACCTGTGTATGGATATGTCTTAGCATCTAAGGATTAAAAGATCTTAGTCCTAGATAAAGATACATTTTATTATTTGATAGTTGATAATGTATTAGTTAGGGTTCTTTAGAGTAGCAGAATTTATAGAATGAAAATATTTATGTATATAAAGGAGATTTATTAGAATGACTTTCAGACTATGGTCCAGTTAATCCAACAATGGCTGCCTATGGACACAAGGTCCAAGAATTCAGTAGTTGTTCAGTCCATGGATGTCTCAACTGGTCTTCAGTATATGCTGGAATAATAAGAAATAGGCTCTAATGCCAGTGAAGGAATGGACTTGATAGCAAGGTGAGAACGAGCAGGCAAAGAACAAAAGCTTCCTTCCATGTCCTTATATATAAGGCTTCCAGCAGAAGCCTATTAGATCTGGGTTAAAGATCTGGATTAGAGGTGTGTCTTCCCACCTCAAGATCTGGATTAAAAGAGTGTCTTCCTACCTCAGAGATCCAGATTAGTAGTAGATCTTCCCACTTCAAATTAAGCAGAAATCCCTCACGGGTGTGCCCTCCATTAGATAATTCCAGATGTAGTCAAGTTGGCTACCAAGAACAGCCATCACAGATAATATATTTAAAAAATCCTAGTTTTCAGTCAGGTATACTGGCATGTGGTGCAGTCCCAGCACTTGAGAGGCAGAAGCAAAAGGATTGACCCAAGTTTAAGGCCAACCTGTTTTACACATTGAGTTCCAGGCCAGTCAGGACTAAGACCTTGTCTCTAAAAACACAAACAAATAAAAATGTTAGTTTCTTTTGAGTACAGCAGCAATATATTCATTTAGAACAACCACCAGAAAAGGAAAGAAGGAAAGAAAGGTGGATGGATAGAGAAAATAGTCAAATGTTTTCTGCTTCTTAAACTATAGGACTTACGACAGAGATCAGGGATAGAATGAAAGAGACTTAACAGTAGTAAGGGGTTTCTTTCTTAAGACTTCTGCTTGTCAATTACTAGGTAACTATACAAGTATAAGAGTTCTTGCACCATATATCCCATATAAAGATCACAACATTTTATAACCATATTTCTGCTTAGAAACTGTTCTGGATCAAAACTTCTTGCTGTGTGTGGATCTTTTGCTTTCCAGTGATCTTAACCTGTTTTTCTCTGAACAATAGTTGGTTAAAGGGGCATATTTCCACAGAGTTATAGCCCTATATTTTTTTCAATTTCTATTGAAGAAGAAGCTGCTGTTTTGGGGGTTCTGTGCTGCTTCCCAATACCACAAGGAAGGAAGAAGAAAGGGAAGAAGGGGAGAGGATGGAAGAGAAAGGGAGAGATACAGAAAGAAAAAAGGAGGTATATCACCACCTTATGGTAGAAAAAGCATTTGAGGACTGGGCTTGTAGCTCAGTGGTAAAATGTGTACAAGTGAAAGGCCCAGCAAACAGGAGAAATTTTATAATATGAATCTCAGTAGATCAGTTGAGATAAGAGCCTATCTACCATCTTGAATTGGTGTTATATATAAAACTCCACCAAGGAAGTAAATTAAGGAAGCACATTTTGTTCCCAGTTTACTGAAAAATGTTTGAAATCAGAAATAAATGTCTTTAGCTCTACTTAAATTCATTCATTTATTCTTGTCTTCTTGGAAATAAATGGCATAGTACCTAGGAGCAGCCCAAGAATCAGAATTGTCAAGTTACCTCTGAAGGCAGGGGAAAAAACTTTTGTCTCCCTTAGGATTCTTAGACTATAATTTAGGGCTAAAATATGCTGGTCACAAGTAAATGCATGTCCTAGAAACCAATTACGTTGTAATTCTATCAGCACATCTAAATGGATAGGTATCTTAATGAATTGTTTTAATTATAAGGATATAGTTAAATCCTGAAATAACTTAGCAATGAAGATGTGGTTACAGGACCTCATCCTTGATGGTTGTTTGAGAGTATTAGTGTAAATATTCAAAAAGTATAAGGTTTTAATGAGTATGGTTTGGATTAATTAATTGGTGTGTTTTTCTTTTCAGTTTGTGGCAGTGGCAGGCCACTTTTGGTATACTCAATATTACTCTGATTTGTTGCAGCACGAGACTTTGGAAGAGTTGAAAACAGCTCCACTCTCCTCCTTATAATTACTTTAATCCTTTTATCAAGTCTTTAGCTTTTGCAGTAGAATTCCTTGAAGTCTTTGAGTATTTTGTACATTTATATAAAAAATAAAGAAGCCAGGAGGGTATTATTTTTCTCCCTATAAAAGGAAGAATCATAGAGACTATAGTTACCAGATTGAAATTTTTTAATATTTAATTATTTCTGATTATTTTCTAAAAGAAGAGAGAGGGATAATGCCTAGTAAGACTTGATCATAAAACCAAATGTGGGCAGAGTATCAGAGTAGGAAAAAGTAAAAAAGAAAGAAACCAGGAACAAAGTAGTTAGTAGAAATAGTATCTCCCAGCTTTACATTCTCTCATTCAAGTGTTTTGTATTCTAAAACTCTTAATCTCTCAGGTATTCTGCAGGTCAAAACACATCCTTGCTTGGAAAAATCCAAGTGTCAGAGGACAGCTACAAAGTAGTACCACATATGACTGGGTTTCAACCACTGCTTGTGAGAAGTCTTGATGACATAAGGATATATATGTATATATCATATGTGAAGATAACTTGGTTTCCATCCACAGTCACCCTAGCAGCAAACATTTGAGTGGCATCTAATGGGTCAGAATTAGAGCTTCTCCGTCCTCTTTTTGTGTCATTCGTCACAGGGGAAAACATTCCTGTGTTACCAGCTAGTTGTTTCACTTCTTTGTCTCCTTTGTACTTATCTTCTAGACAGAGTCTGAAAAAAAGAGATTGGGGAATGGAAGAAAAGGTTTTAAATTGTTTTCTGGCATCTGACAAAAGACTTGAGTAGAGCATGTCTTTTGGCTCTGATAAATGCTTGTAAGCAGACGTCTAATGAGGTGAGGCTAGTGTTTTTAATCCTCTAATCAGGCTCTATCTTACTCTGTCTTACTTTCTGAATCCTATCTCTAAACAATAGCATCAGTGTCTATCTTTGGATGGGAGGTTAAGTGAATAGAGGTCTATCCTCAGTTTGAGACGAGTTCTGAATATGAAAGGTTAATAGCACCATTCTTACAGAAAAAAGGTCATCCATTGCCCAAATTGGGAATCCACAGAAAATGCTTGAGCTAATCAAACATTCCTTAATCAATTTTCCAATCACTTAACTAGTCTATTCATGCAACTAGTCACTAGCCATGCTCTGTTAAAACAGCCACCACTAATCAGAATTGCAGTTTCTCACCAATGAGCTAACATTAATTCAGTTATTTTGGTTGGCATATTTTCTCATGCTTATGGGCTCATTTGTCTGGATATTTGAAATGATGATCTTGTTTGTATTACAGAGCTCTTATTTGGAAGACAGTGAGTCAGCAGCATTACTTTGCTGTGAATGTGGAGAATCAGAAATCTTTAGTGATTTCAATGTACGTAGGTATATGTTTTTATAGATATACAAATAACATGCAGCCTTTGGTAATTAATTAAAAACTTTTGGGGTGGTGGAATTGGCTCTTGATGCAACTAATGTAGTGCCTATTATTTCATCTATTTGGCCTTAGCCAATAGTATAGGAAGACAAACAGGTGACTCAGAATGTGTGTGTATGTATTAGTATATTAGCATATTTATAATCTACAATTACTGTGCTACATTTACATGCATAGTAATCTCTACTCAAATCATATCTATCAAAGTAATAAAATGTTGCATGCTGGAACTTTTAATGTATCTCCTTCTATAATTGTCTTTAAGACTATAATTGTCTTTGGTTTTTTTCTCCCCTGATGGATACATTTTGTTGTTGTTTCTAGAGACCTTTATTACACCATTGGCAGGAGCAGTAGATCTCACAAGTTTTTCTTTTTCTTTTTTCTTTTTTCTTTTGTCAAGACAGGGTTGTAATGGCCCTGGCTGTCCTGGAACTTGCTTTGTAGACCAGACTGGCCTTGAACTCACAGAGACCCACCTGCCTCTGCCTCCCGAGTGCTGGGATTAAAGATGTGTACCACCACTGCCATCCCTTTTTCTTTTTTAATTTATTAACACATGGACTCAAATTTGTGCTGTTCATGTACTTCTGGATGCAGGGCCATCCACTGCAGCTACCAGGAGCCACAATCTTAAAGAAAACTCTCCCTCCCCCAGAAACCATCAACTGTCCATAGCTCCTCAGTTAGGGATGGGGGCCTATGAACCCTTTCCCACCCCTTGCTAGAATGCTGACTGGCTTGAACTTGTGCAGGTCTTGTGTAGACAACCACAGCTGCTGTGAGTTTGTGAGTGCAGTGGTCCTGTCATGTCTAGAAGACATTTTTTTCTCTGGTCCTCCCCGACCTCTGGGTCTTACAACTCCCTCTTCCAAAATACTCCAGCCGTGGAGAGGCGCTGTGATGGAGATATCCATTTGTGGCTAACCACTCCATAGTCACTTACTCTCTGTACTTTGACCAGTTGTGAGCTCCTGTACTAACCATTATCCATTTCACAAAGAAACTTCTCTGATGCAGCCTGAGAGCTTCACTAACTTACCACAAGAGAGATGCTAATTTAGAAGGAAGTTTGATAATATATTCATTCATATATATTTTCTTTAAAAAAAACACATTTATTTTATGTGCATGAGTATTTTGCCTACATGGATGTATTTGCACTATGCGTATGCCCGGTGTCTGCAAAGGTCAGAAGAGGATGTCAGATCCCCTAGAACTAGAGTTATAGACAGTTGTGAGCCTCATGAGGGTACTGGTAACTGAACCCAGAGGTCCTCTGCAGCCATCTCTCTAGCCTCTCTTGCATATAGTTGTAATAGTCAATTGTTTCCCTTTTCCAATAGCACCTACTTGGTATTGGTGCTGCCACTGGGCCTTTATTCCTTCTCTATACACTGTGTCCTGACTATTGAGAATATAAAGCCAAATAAGGTTATTATTACCAGGGTATAAAACATTAAGCTATATTTCGTGAAATGATATGTGTCTTATTTATTCCAGCTGATCCTTAGCATAGTTACTGAAGGAGTCAGTCTGGAATTAGAGAATGGCTTATTTTTATGCATTGTGGTGGGCAGTAACATTAATCTGGAGATTCTCAGATACAAGTAGATTTCTCCTGAATGCTGTAAAGCCTTGTTGCTCATACATATTGCTGTACCTTAAATGGCTTCTGGAAATATCTTGGAGAGAGGGAAATTAGTACATGAGCTGTGAGTAGGGAAAATGAATGAACTGCCCATTGACTCCCTGTCTGAAAAAGAAAAGAAATCCTTAGTCTCTGCTCTCTGCTTCTCCTGTAATCACAGATACCTTTTCTTGCCTCCCTAAGTCTTAGTGCTTTTTGTTATGCTCTTCTTTGTCATAAAGCTTGTGCAGATTTGGAGTGGCACTGGGAGAAAAGACTTTATAAAGGCATATTTTGTGATTGTCATACTTACAAGAGACTGGGCTACTCTTGTCAAACCAGCTCCAACTACCATTTTATGAGTGAACCTAGGTGACTTGGTATCAAATTGAAGCTTAGAAACATCGCAATCATTTTTCCCACTTAGAGATTTGTTCTGTATCTAGACTATGCCATAAGTCCTACTTATTAAATTCTAAAAATTATCGTTAGTATAACATGTTATATTACAATATTCTTTGAATGGATTTTGACTGATCCCATCCCCGACACGTATACACTTTCACTAGATTTGATTTCTTCCAACACATAGCTGTGACTAAAATTAGGCCATACAGCTAAGTTCTATGTGTATCAGATGTTTATTGTAGGACATAGCACTCACAGAAACAACATATCTTGGAGTTGCTTCTCAGGTTTATGTTACAGCACCCCTTCCCCTTTATCTTCATGGTATAGTTTTAGGACCTTCTTTACTAATTATATTGACTCACCTAGTTGAACTTCATTCCATCTTAATGAAGCGTCTAGAATGGCATGAATTCAATTATTGTGATTCATAAATAGCTGGAGTGGTGCTCATTTCCTTAATGCTTACAAACATTAACAGATGAATCTACACAAACACTCTTTTATCACCTTTTGCAAATGACAGACTGAGTGTGGAAAGGTTATAAGATAGTTCAGTGTTTTGTGATAAGCAGGGACAGCACTGACATCACATCTCTGCTGACAGCTATTAATAAGCTCATTACCAGAGAGCAGAATCATTGATAGATTGTGTACTAGGCTTCTATATAGTATCCTACAAGATACATTTTGTTTAGTGTGTGATGAAATCCTCTCAACTTGTACTGGCTTATTGTTGGGGCTCTCTTTCTCTCAAATCAGTACATGAAAATCTATTAAAAATATTTAACTGTGTTGGAAAAGGGTGGCTCTAGTTTTAGTAGTTTTTCATCCTTGCAAACAATTACTTAGGTGTTTGTATTTACAGGCAATTCTGGATTTCTTTTCCCTCTTCCTCTTGCCTATACCCCTCTCCCAGTAGTATCGCTGTAGGTCACTCAGACTGTCTTGGAACTTGCCATATAGCCTAAGCTGGCCTCAAGTTTGTAATCTTCCTGATTTTACCCCCTCAGTGCTGGAATTACTGACAATTCTTTTATAGCCAGACCTTTCATTCATTTGAAAAGTCAGGTTGTGGCCTTGCCATACAGGCCTAATGATCTGAGTCTGATATGCATGTTCCATAGTCATCCTTTGAACTCCATACACAGGCTGGTAAACGCATATGCATACGCACATGCATGCACGCATTCTGTGCAATAAGTTTGTGTTTTTTCCCTTAAAGAAGCAAAGCTATGAGCTAAGTGTAGGGTATACATCAATAATTCCAGTACTAAGAAGGTTGAAACAAGAGACTCTTGAGTTCCAAATCAGCCTAGTCTATGTATCAAGACCCTGTCTCAAATATATACACATAGGGCAACTGGACTGATACTTTTTTTTCTAAAGATTTATTTATTATGTATACAGTGTCCTGCCTGCATGTATGCCTTCACACCAGAAGAGGGCACCAGATGTCATTATAGATGGCCGTGAGCCACCATGTGGTTGCTGGGAATTGAACTCAGGACCTCTAGAAGAACAGTTACTGCTCTTAACCTCTGAGTCATCTCTCCAGTCCCTGGACTGATACTTTTTTGTTATTGTTTTTGTTTTTTTGCTTTGATTTTTTTGAGGCATGGTCTCATTTCTCCAAGGCTGGCCTCAGATTCACTGTATTGCCAAAGATGACTTTGAACTTCTGATCCTTTTGCCTCCACCTACAGAGTGCTTAGACCAGAAGCATGCAGCATTGTGCTCGCTCTGTGTACTGCTGGAGATCAAATCTAGGGTTTTGTGCATGCTAGGGCAAGCACTTCACTGCTAAGTCACAACCTCACCCCTGGGCTGGCTAGAGTCATGCTTCTTTATCTTTCTTTAAAAATATTAGATCCTGGGGTCTGGAGAGATAGCCCAGCAGTTAAGAGCACTGGCTGCTCTTCCAGAGGACCTGGGTTCAATTCCCAGCAACCACATGGCAGCTCACAACTGTTTGTTAACTCCCATTCCAGAGCATCCTCACACACACATACATGCACATAAAATAAAAACAAACCTTAAAAAAATTAGATCCTGTTTTACTCTCAGGGAGTATTTCCCTCCCACCCCTTTCTGCCCTTATTCCTACTCCCGTATCAAATGAAATTTGAAGAAGTCCTTCCTAATTTAAAGGCTTGGGCTGAGGCTATAGCTCAGAGGCTATAGCTCAGTGGCAGGGTGCTTGCCTAGTATGCACAAAGTTCTGGTTCAGTTCTGAGTATTGCACTTTCATGCACACAAAGTCACAGTTCTCTGAAGATTTAACATGGGGGCGGGGGAGTGGTGTTATTTGTAGAGCAAACATTGAAAACCCCATTATTTAACTTTCTCCGAGGGAAGTGAAATGGGATCATGATAACTATTTGAAGTGGAAGTACTCATATAAAGAGTTAGATGATAAAGTCAATCACTGAAAACCTATCTGTATTCTTGGGGTAATAATAGTATGAACTTGGTTAGGTGTATTCATTCATTCAACAATTGGTTGACTCTTACGTATAAATCACTGGGTAAAGAGCTATGGGGACTGGACATAAAATACAGAATCTCTGCTTAGAGAATGTATAATCAACAAGTTTTATGGATGGTTATGAAAAGGAAAGGGAAAATCATTAAGTGTTGTATATAGTAAGAAGAGAAGATGGGGGCTGGAGAGATGGCTCAGAGGTTAAGAGCACTGAATGCTCTTCCAGAGGTCCTGAGTTCAATTCCCAGCAACCACATGGTGGCTCACAACCATCTGTAATGAGATCTGGTGCCCTCTTCTGGCCTGCAGTCATACATGCTGTATACATAATAAATAAAAATAAAATCTTAAAAAAAAAAAAAAAAGAGAAGAAATTTAGATAAATGGTAAAAAAATTTTGACCTGAAGCCAAGT